CTCCCTTCTCTTCACCTCCCCATCCGGGGGTCCTTGTGGCCGCCATGGCATCCCGTAGGTGTCCTTGTGTTGAACCCTCCCCCACATTGCTATACTGCTCCCATGCCCCTGTCCCCGGAATTCGATCGCTAACTGTCGCCCCCTCTCCCGCCTACCACATATAGTCAAGCAGTTTATCCGAAATGTGCGGTCTGCCAAAACAATCGCCGATGAACGAGCAGTCATTCAAAAGGAGAGTGCGGCCATCCGTGCGTCTTTCAGGGAAGAGAGCCATGATTCGGGCATCCGGTTAGCATTGGCACCGCCAACCTCTACAACCCCTCGAACCCGCCGCTTACTTCTTTGCGCAGGAGAAACAATGTGGCCAAGCTTCTCTATTTATTCACACTCGGTGAACGGACACACTTTGGTCAAATCGAATGTCTGAAGCTACTGGCCTCCCACCGTTTCGCCGACAAGCGTCTGGGATACTTGGGAACGATGCTGTTACTGGATGAGAACCAAGAAGTTTTGACGCTGGTAACGAACTCATTGAAGAAGTGAGTTTCGTATGCAAGATCGGCGTAGAATCTCCTGGCTGATGTCTTGCAGTGACCTTAATCACTCCAACCAATACATCGTCGGCTTGGCCCTCTGCGCCCTGGGCAATATCGCCTCCGTCGAAATGTCCCGAGACCTTTTCCCCGAAGTTGAAAATTTAATGTCTACTGCAAACCCTTATATTCGGAGGAAGGCGGCGCTGTGTGCTATGCGTGTATGTCGCAAGGTTCCCGACCTGCAGGAGCATTTCCTGGAAAAGGCAAAGACTCTTCTGTCGGACAGGAACCACGGTGTTCTGCTGTGCGGTTTAACACTTGCGATTGACATGTGTGAAGCTGAGGAAGCGGAAGAAGGACAGGAGGGTGTGATCGAGATGTTCCGGCCGTTGGCTGGAGGTCTTGTGCGCTCCCTAAAGGGGTTGACCACCTCGGGATACGCCCCAGAACATGACGTCTCCGGTATCACCGATCCCTTCCTTCAAGTGAAGATACTGCGCCTTCTCAGAGTACTAGGAAGAGGGGATGCGGCGACCAGCGAAATGATCAACGACATTTTGGCCCAGGTGGCCACCAACACTGATTCGACGAAGAACGTCGGCAACGCTATTCTCTACGAGGCTGTCCTGACCATTCTCGATATCGAAGCAGATTCTGGACTGAGGGTGCTCGGTGTCAACATCCTTGGAAAGTTCCTGACCAACAAGGACAACAATATTCGTTACGTTGCTCTCAACACGCTGAACAAAGTTGTTGCAATTGAGCCCAATGCCGTTCAGCGGCACCGCAACACCATCCTGGAGTGTCTCCGCGACCCAGACATCAGTATCAGACGGCGTGCCCTTGATCTCAGTTTCATGCTGATCAATGAGAGTAACGTGCGTGTTCTTGTTCGCGAGCTGCTCGCCTTCCTGGAAGTTGCCGACAACGAGTTCAAGCCAGCCATGACTACTCAGATTGGTATCGCTGCTGACCGATATGCCCCCAACAAACGCTGGCATGTTGATACGATTCTCCGAGTACTCAAGCTTGCCGGTGCCTATGTTAAGGAGCAGATCCTCTCGTCCTTTGTTCGCCTCATCGCCACCACACCAGAGCTGCAGACCTACTCTGTGCAGAAGCTTTATCTCTCGCTGAAAGAAGACATCTCACAAGAAGGCCTTACCCTTGCGGCTACCTGGGTCATTGGCGAGTACGGTGACAACCTTCTCCGTGGCGGTCAGTATGAGGAAGAGGAGCTGGTCAAAGAGGTCAGGGAGAGCGACATTGTTGACCTATTCACCAACATCCTCAATAGCACATACGCCACGCAAACAGTGGTGGAGTACATCACTACGGCCTCTATGAAGCTTACCGTGCGCATGTCCGATGCAGCACAGGTTGAGCGGCTCCGTCGCTTCCTCAGCAGCCGGACTGCCGATCTGAGTGTTGAGATTCAACAGCGGGCTGTCGAGTATGTCAACCTGTTCGGCTACGACCAGATTCGTCGTGGAGTTCTCGAACGCATGCCCCCGCCTGAGATCCGCGAAGAACAAAGAGTGTTGGGCGCACCGACCAAGAAGCGCCAGAGCAAGATTCTGAAAGATAAGTCCAAGAAGCCTGCCAAACAGGCCGAGCAGGACATGCTTCTGGACCTCATGGGCGGCGACGCCCCACCGACCAGCCCAACTACCAACGGTTCTCAGAATACGGCTGATCTCCTTGCCGATATCCTCGGCGGCGACTCCAGCTTATCCTCACCTTCTCCTCAACCCGCACAGAAGCCTGCAGGATCTGCCAGTACCAGCGCTATCATGGACCTGTTCAACACGAACGGAAGCACGCCGTCTCCCAAACCTGCCGAGCCTGCATCTTCTCTGGATCTCCTAGCAGGCCTGGGATCTTCTGCCTCGCCCGCACCCGCTCCTGCCCCTTCGGCGGCTCCTGCTCACACGGCCTTCAACAAGAACGACCTCTCCCTTGCCCTCCAGGTCCAACGTGGCAGCGGTGGGAGTGCGCAGATTCAGGCTCGTTTCCGCAACACTTCAAGCTTTGGCCGCTTCTCCAATGTTGGATTGCAAGCAGCCGTGCCCAAGAGTCAGAAGCTACAGCTCAGCGCGATCAACAAGGCTGATCTCGATGCTGGTGACGAAGGTATCCAGATGCTCAAAGTTGCAGCACTCACTGGGGTAAGCTAAAACCAACCATGACATTTTTGATTGCCTTTGACTAATGTTCTTTCAGGCCCTCCCACCTAAGCTCCGCCTTCGTCTCCGTATCACGTATGCCAAGGACGGTTCCGATCCTGTAACAGACCAGGTGGACTGGACCGAGCCGTGAACGGTCACCAAGGCCATTCTTTCATAAACCCTTATATTCACCTTACAAGAACCTTTTAGACCGCCCATCTAATCTTACTTTATCAACCCAATTATTGTATCAGGAGGGAGGATGGAAGCAAGCAAGCCAACCCTTGGGAGAAGTCTACCTACTTGACCATTCATAGTTCCTCACATTACATACATGCATGTTCATACATACCCGGTCCGTTTCTAGCTCTCCATTTTCATCATCTCTTCCCTTCGCTGTCATGTGTTCCCTTTGCCTTCTATGTAAATGCTTGGTATGTTGCTGAGGCGGCCTAGGAGTGGCCGGTTTCCCCATATGTGGGGTCTAAAATGAAAATGTTCCTCTTCACTTTACCACGGACTTCTACTGTAATGATTAGTATATATCTCGGAGTTAGGAGATTTGCGACTGCGGCGTGAACAACAAGTGTCCGGTGATCGCACGGTCGTTTGTTTGCGCTTCAGTGATGCTTTGCAATCCCCAAACCACCAAGATTGTGACTATGACTACCCAAAACCGGGTGAGACAGAGAATCAGAAGTTCCACACGTCATCGATAACAGAATGAGGCAAATCGACAGGGACCGGAGTTCTACCAGAGACAGCTGCGGCCTCCGATGCACTCGTGCCTAATGAGCAGTGCCGGGTCGAGGAAGATTTCATCAGTCTGAAATGCGAGAAGTGAGACATTAAGCTTTTGTTTGATGATGCTGGTCAGGAAGTTAATGATTGATTTATATGATAGCTGTTAGTAGTAATCTTACATTCTTGCATGGTGTTGAAGCCTTCCTTATCATCTTCTTCAACGATGTCTCCTCTATTTGACTCAGGTTTGGTTTCCCGGCGGGTTTTTCTAGGGCGCGTATATTGACCAATTCGCTCGAGGCGCTTATGCGTCGAAGGGGAGGGGTGTGGCTCGAATGAGTTGGCTTCAGTGGGACAAGGCGTCTAAGCTGCAGCCGACCGGATTAAGGCTGCTTGCTTCGCCCAAGTTTGATCTACTCTACTGGTCACATTGTCCAGGCACAAGGACGCCGATGGCCTCTCTTACTGGCTGCTTCATGATAGCCTCAGGCCGCTTTGTATGTAGATAAGTGATTGTGATGTGATACTTGGAGGTCATGGCTCCTGAGTGCTGGCCTAAGATCCTTCCCTCCTTGTTACTTTTATAGTTCACAAGTAGTAATGATGGTGACTGTTGGGTATGAACCTGCAAAGTTAATGATAACGTAAATGAAGCACTTGGTGGATGGATGCCTTTGTTCCTTATCCCCACCATCTTCTGAGCGTTGGGCTGCAGAGGTCCCACTTAGTAGTCTCGCCTGATGACAACCATAAAGTAGGCTGTTTCACACTTGAAGAGAGGAATCCTCAAGGTGGTGGTGTGGACAGTGGTTACTACTACGTACTTGTTTATCAGCAGCTTCCATGCGGTCATCCTTGACTGCTTTGTTTGACGATTTGGGTATAAGATTGAAGGATCCATTTAGTTATACATTGGTGCCTGATATGACACCTGCTATCCGGTCCACACTTCAGCCAGGATTCTACATCCATGCATGAACTCGGTACATTTGACCATGCAGTCTCAGCCAGGGTAGCAACGCCTCTTATTTCAGTCTGCTCAAGATGTGGACTCTAGATTGGCCAGAAATTTGCCCATAGTGCAAGCTCATGGGATGTCAGACCAGAGAGATGCAGGATACAGATCAACGGGGGCCATAGCCTCGATTATGGGGAAAGCTTGCGCTCGAGCCGGATGAGCTCGGAGATAGCCAAATCTGAAACTTACTATACTGCAGATGCTCCGTAATATATTCGCGACAGAGTGACCCGAAATAATGTATCCCAATTGTCGATCGCATGGTTCATCTCTGGCAAACTTGATGATGACGATGTCAGGCCGACATCACGTGTAATACCGTATTGTGACACCCCTCATCTCCCCTCACCCGCAATTGAGGGTCTGCACCTTTCCGAAAACAGACCAATACACAAGGATACCGCGTAAGGGGAGCGTAATAGAGTCCTGAGGCCATCAGCAGCGTCGCGCGTTTCCTCGTCCTTTCGGTCTCTCACTCTCTTGCACTCTCTCTCTCTCTTCCCTCTTCTCTCTCTTTCTCATCTATCTCTTGAGAGTGAGCAAGCATTCAACACTCATCAATCGCGATTCCATTAAATCTAGCATCATCATCAATTTCATCTATCAAGTCCCCTCCGTTGGAAAACCACCGTTTATATCTAGATCTCCGTCCGATCTCATTGGTGTCGGGGGACTTTCTCGCAACAACCAGTGATCGTTGCTCGTCTTGCCAGGGACTTCTGGTTCGCCAATTGATTGCTGCGCGCATCGCGGCCGTCCCCAGTAATACCTGCCCTACGACCATTTGCCTGCTCTCTACTGGACGGTAAGCCAATAACTCTACACGCCCCATCCATCCCCCAGCGTCGTGGGCCACCGGAATTTGATCCAATCGCCTGGTCGGTTGCTCCCTCTTTAATTGTTGGTTTTGCTGCTTTTTCCCAGCTGCGCAACGTGCCACACTGCCAGTCTGACCCACGGTTACTTCCGTGTTGCATTACCCGCGTCACATCCCGCCCCGACTTGTTCCCAGATCTTCCGGGCTGCTGGAAACTGTCAAGTGCGCATGGCTTGCTGACGTGACCACTCCTGCAGTCGCGCGCGCGCTGCCCTCTAAACCTCCCTCCACACTGAGCCACAGGGGCTTTGCCAAAAAAAAAAAAAAGAGTTTCCAGGTTTCTGGTGCTGTATCCATCTTTACTCTGGCTAATCAAATCAGATCTTTCCATTTAGAAGAAGAAAGAAAATAAATCAAAAAAGAAAGAAAAAAGAACTACGAAAAAGAAAACGCGCTTGGAATCCCAAAAAGACAGACAGGCAAGACAGATTTAAAGTACCTTAGAAAACAATAACAAACAGAAACGCCTGCTGCGACCAAACACACAACCCACCCCCCTCCCTCCACCCTCCTCGTCGAATAATAGATCCCGCCGGTCCTTGCTCACGACGCTAAAGCAGGACTATCGCAGAAGCATTGCCAATCCCCCACACGCGCAACTACGCCCGTCTTTCCCCGTTCAGGCTGTCGTGAAGCGAATCGCTGCCCAGCCAGACGCACCCTCGTTGTCCTTGGCGCGGCTGTATCATAGCGCGCGAGATCGAGAATCCACCGCGTGCTGCACGCAGCTCTGACGTGGTTTGCCAACAGAGCAGTTAGAGACAAGCCCCCGTTCTAAATCCAGTATCTCTGCACGTTCTCAGAACAGCTAAAAATCATGTCGTCGACCTCTCCCTCGAAGGAACCGGAGGTGGAACCCGAAGTTCAATCGGGTGAAGACCAGGAACAAATGGATAAGGACCAACAAGACACTCAGGCGCAGGGTCAGGGAGAGTTCGAGGTGAAGGAGCAGGATAGATGGCTGCCAATTGCAAATGGTTAGTTGCGTTCCCTTGCAGCTTTCTCTTTTTCCTGATTTGCGCGTACCTTACGTTTATCTGCTGGTCAACCGCCTCTTGCCCTACTATGATGGTTCACCCACCCCCCTCAACCGCACACCCCCGTTGCCTTTATTTGATCCTAACCGCCAGTCCTTTTGTATGTTTTGTGACTTGAGTTTTCATGGCTTGGATAACGCCTCTCCGTGCTCTTCCCTCATTTGTCTCTTGGTTGTTCGCGCATTCCCCATCATATAAGCCCGCCTACCCTCCTAATGTCTGGAAGTAAAAGACGCCTGATAACTTTCATTCATGCCTGCGACCCCCGCATATATCACAGTTGATACCATGTCAAGATACTAATGTTGCAAATTAAGTGGCCCGCATCATGAAGCTGGCCTTGCCTGAAAATGCCAAAATCGCAAAGGAGGCCAAGGAGTGTATGCAAGAATGTGTGAGCGAGTTTATCTCATTCATCACTAGCGAAGGTTGGTGCGACCACACCTGCTCTACAAGCTCTTTCACTGACGGAGTCTTACCCATTTGTCCGTAGCCTCCGAGAAATGCCAGCAGGAAAAGCGCAAGACCGTCAACGGGGAGGACATTCTATTCGCCATGACCTCCCTCGGGTTTGAAAACTATGCAGAGGCCCTTAAGATTTACCTGTCCAAGTATCGCGAGGTGAGACCTGTGCAACCGTCCCCAATCATGTTGCCTTTCCTCGTAACAGGCGACATTGAGTTTCATGACGTATCCGGACGCTAATTATTCCTCTAGACCCAATCCGCAAGAGGCGAGCACCAGAACCGTCCAACAAGCAGTGGATATGGTGCTGGCGCGCCCGTAGGGGCCCCCGGGCCTGCCGGTCCTGGTGGCCGTCCAATGGGACCTGGTGCAGGGTTTCCTGATGCTGCTGATAGCGCCAACAATATCATGAACCAAAGCTTGGACCCGTCTGAGCAGGACACTTCCGCCTATGGCTACCCCCCGATGGTCGGCCAGCCGCACAACGGCACCACCGGTGAATCTTATTAGTATGCTACTGTGCGGGAGAACCATCCGCTGGACTTGACGACTATCCTGCAGCAAGGGTCTTCTTCAGAATCGGACAAGCAGAGACTCGAACATCAGCCTCCCTTCACCCCTGCAGAGGCTGGATGCCCCTCGTCTCCAGCATGAAAGGCGGCTGGGATCACAGGCCCAAGCGACGAACGTTTCCGGATGTTACTCCCTGTACAGCGATCCTAATTACGCGGTACGATACAATGGGTTACTTACGGGATATTAACGGAACGAACACGAATCAAGCAATACGACAGAAACAACGGAGCCGAGAGATAGTTTTTCCCCCATGATTTGGTTTATTTTTGCTTCTGATTCTTCATCTTCTCTTCTACAACCGGCTGGAGCACTAGCCGAACCTGCCAGGCCCACTTGGCGTTCTCAGTCACCTCCATATAACCAAAGCAACTCACCTCTCAACATGAAGCCAACCAAAAGAGAGAGAAATTGCCCATATATTTTCATGCCTACGAGTACAATATTCATCTGCGCGTTATGGTTGACCAGAGAAAAAGGGGTTACCCACACCCGATTGCTAGGGGGCCAGTTACATGTAATTATTGTCTGAGTTGAGTATCTATTATTTGCGTGTGTATGTGTGTCTTTGTCATTATTTATTGCAGAGTATGGGATACTGTTCAGAAGGAGGAAGAAGAAGAAGAAGAAGACAACAGGAACCTCACAAATAGAACACGGATTGGACTTCACTGTCCCTGACAGCTAAAAAAAAAAATCACGTGGTTGCATTTCAAACCGTACACTAGAAGCCAAGTCTTATGGTTACCGCTAGATGAATTCTGTACGACAGGAAATAGTTCATGAACGGCTTGCGCGGTGTAACCTGAATCCCCCTAATTACGTACGTACTCAAGAGAAGAACGGGCTAACTGTCCATCATATAAACAACGGGACGATCGATAGAAAGAAACAAAAACGAGATGTCATCATCATAGTCATCATCATAGGAATAGAATGCAAATCTAACCAAACCAAGAAAAAAAGATATCACGACTCGCTAAATTGACAGGAAAGCAACCACAGATCCAGACACCTAAGATACGAGATAGTTATCCATGCATCCACCCTCCATCTAACAGAAGATCCGACATCGGAGTCTCCTGCCAGTAGATCTGACGCCACTCATCCTCTAACTCGGGTAGTCCTTCCATGGCCATTGGTAGCACGGGTTGGTCCAGATCCGTGAAGGAGAAGAGTTGGCGCCAGTCGAGGGATTCGCGGGGTGCGTCGGCGTCGATGGCGTCGACGACGGGGGTCATGGTGGCGGAGGGTGGAGGTGGGGGGATCCAGGCGTCTAGATGATGATGGTGAGGTTGTTGTTGTTGGGGCTGAGGTTGAGGGTGGTTGTGGTGTGGGCTTGTTGGGAGGTGGTTCGTGGAGGAGTCTGGGGTGGGGACTTCGAAGGGGAGGGGGCGGTCTGTGGGGTTTGGATTGGGGATTCGTGTTGTTTGCGTTGTTGTGGGTGCGGAAGTGGAAGTGGAAGTAGTGGAGTGTAGGGTGGTTTTGAGTTGGTCTTGAGGGTTGCTGAAGCGGCGGGGTGGTCGTTCGCTGGTGGCCATTCGGAGGTCTTCTTGGAGGCGTCTGGAGTCTTCGAAGAGGCGAAGGATGGTGTTGGCGTGGAACCAGTAGCTTGCTAGTTCGCGAAGGGAGTAGGAGGCTGAGTCGAAGCGGCGGAGAGCGTTAATTGCTAGGACGGGGTTGGAGAAGCGGAGTTCGACGCGGACTTGGATCATGGCTGTGAAGAGGGTGTGGACGCCGGAGTACCAGAGGAACTTGAGGCGGTCATTTAGTCGGAGTTCTTCGAAGATGGAGGTGATGACTCCTGCAGCTGCGCTGCAGATTTCGGCGTCGTGCGGGCCGTAGTCGTCTGAGTAGGCGGAAGCTCGGGGGTGTGGGCGGTGGAGGAGGATCAGGAAGTTGTTGTAGGTGAGATGGAGCATGGCGGACCAGGGGTCCATGTCGGATGCTCGGAGACGTAATTTATCGGGCAATTTCAAAGACCAATTGGCAAGGGCTTCGTCGGCTTCTAGGAGGACGGCTTTACGGCGCTCTGGACTCACTCGTAGTCCGAAGCGGCTTCGAACAATGTACGAGATCATCACTGAGAGTTCGGAGAAATGGATCACATAGTCGGATTGAACACGAGGCCCGCAGCCTTCAAAGTCGGAGATTGTCAACGGAGACACATCGGAGTCTTCGAGATTGCTGTGTATAAAATCAGCAACCAATTGGAAAGGAGAGGAGGGGTATCTGCTTACATTGCCTGCGGTCGACCATAGGAAAGTGATACCATAACGTCGAATTGCACTATGATGTACCATAGCCTCCTCCACATTCGGCGATCACGAGAGACAAACCGGCTGGAGATAGGATTTCGGTGCATTCCAAGACCAGTAGCAATCCTGGCAGCTACGCCCACCCAGTAGTGCGCATTCGCTGCGACATCATCGTCGGCACCATCTGAGTGCCAAGTCAAGAGGAGGGCAGCTTGCACCAGGATATCGCGATTACGCTCAATACGGGAATCAAACAGCCACTTGGCACGACGGAAGAAAATGTCCTTCAGGGCATCGCGTTCTGCTTTAGGACGCGTGACATGGGCTCCCACCAGCAGGATGGCTTGTAGCAGCAGAATTGGGGGAGGATCAGCGGGGTCTCGATTGCGATACTGCGCCATGAACAGGTCCTCGTCAATGATAGGATACCCCGGGTTGACGTGGTCGAAGTAAGCTTGGACCAGCTCATCTGCTAGGGCCGGTTCAGGCAAAGTGAGGGCATCCATGAGCAGCTGATCATGTCCGGTCCTTAACTGTCGTCGCGGAATCTCATTGCCTGCAAAGTGATACACGTCGTCATCCTTGTCACGTTGCTGACGGATCAAGAAAGACATGTTCGACAGCTCATGGCCCACATATATAGCTCGCACACCCCGACGAATCTCCCGACTGCCCGATTCTTCCTCATCGATCAGCTTCACTAGTCGTTTCTCCAAGTCCGCGTGTGAGTCTGATTCGGCCGAGACATCCTGGCCCGGAGGACGGTTATATGCCGGAGATTCTGAAGCTGACCCGGTGCCATTATGGGGAGGGTGGTGATTAACATTATGATTAAGCGTTTGATGAAGGTTATGTAGGCTTGAGGTGGGAGGTGCGACAGGCGTTGTCACTTCCGGTTGGACGCCGCGGAAGGTGGTGGTGAAAGCGTCAGGCGGGGTTGTAGCCGTGAGGGGCAAAGAGTGTCTGTGTGTAGGCTCAGAGGAAGCAGGAGGTGGTCGACAGCGGATTGGAACAGGGTCGAGGATTGATCGCACGGCCAGACGCTTCTTCTTTTCATGAATCCGACAATCCGTCTTTCCCGCGGAACGGCAATTGGAGCATGGGAGGCCAACGATGCGGGCATCGCATCGGACTTTGCGCCGATGGCAGTGGACGCAGGCCGCGGAGCCTAGATGGGAACCTTCATTAGAACCATGAGAGGAATAGCAGAGATATGCAGAGTCCTTGATAACATTGCAGAGCGTACCTGACTTGCGCTTAGTCACCCCATTCCCGGCGGGTGGATGACTGCTGTGCGCTGCGGAGGTCATTGCCGAAACATCGACACAGATCCAAGGGTCCGGAGACTCGCTAATTCGTCATCCCTTATCCGAGAGATCTGAGGGATGGAGCATAAGGTCAGATCAGGACATGATCTACCCACGAACAGAAGGATTGGAGAGGAGAATGAAGCAAGCAGACGGGAAGAAGAAGAGAGAGAAGGAGGAGGAGAAATGGCAGACCTGAAGAGGAGAAAAGGCGGGAAAGTCGAATTGCTTTGCTCGGCATGGTTGTGATTGGTCGATAACGGGCAATCGGGTGGGGCCCATTCAGGGCGGGTCTGGGGGAGTCACGTGGCGGGGTGTTGATCGATTCCAATGAATTTAGTCAGACCTTCGATGCTTCTTCTCCTCGTCTTCTGGAAGCCTGTCATTGCCCGCCGTTTGAATGCTACCATCCTGCCCATGGTTAGTTCAAAGCATGCCTAGTTTACTACCCACGCCCAGGACCCCCTTCCATTATCCTGCCCTGCATCTGTGTGACAGCCGGTGTCTTCCTCCGTGCGCTTATCCACCCTGGGATCCACTCCTGGCGTCAGCTCCGTTATCAGTCCGCCTATCGTCCATTCCTTCTCTCTCACTGGACCGTTGGTAAGATTCCTTATCAACATACTACATTCTCGAGATAAAGTGTTTGACAAAATTATACGGCTAATCGGATCCATGGTACTCATACCAAATTCTTCTGCATCGCAGACAGGTCCTGAATTCACGCCAATTCGCACTCTATCAAGCTCTCCACTCCCTTTTCCACCGTCCAGATCTTGACTACTTTCAACCCCGCTGATTCAATCAACGTAGTCCAATGCTTCTCCGTCCGTTCCCCCGAGGCAATTGACATCATGATCATGTCAAGGCTTGTCGTCTCGAAATGCGCGTCGAGACTGGGGACAACATACTCGTTGATCAACAGCTTACTGTATCCCGGTTTCATGGCTGGGATAAGGTTGGACAGGATATGACCGCACACATCATCAGGCCAGTCATGTAGAACCGAATGCATATAGTACACCCGTGCTCCTGAACCTTGTCAGCCCTATCTATCAATCACTGGAAGTAATTACTTCAAGCCATACCTTTCACCGGTTGCTCCGTAAAAAAATTATGCGCCATAGGGTCAATGGACACATGCACGTCCTTCACAGTTTCTATAACCTGAGGGAGATCCTGCACCACAAGCCGCCCAGGCACTTCCGGCCACTTGCGACGGAATTCAGACACATCGTGCCCGGTGCTACCACCCACATCAACCAAGAAGACATCCTTTTCGCTCAGCTCAGTACCCTCAATCAACCGCTCCTGGACTGGGTAGAAGCCCTTGTCCATCCAGCTCGGTCGTCCCTGATGGTACGCCGACATGTGGTTGCCGAATTGTTTGGCAAGGGTAGGGTTCTTCTGTACCAATTCGAAGAAGTGTTCGTCGACACGCTGTCCCAGCTGATATGGGGACTTGGTGGGATCGGTTGGATTGCGGAATCCGTTTTGTTTAAGGAAGGCTGGGATAGCGTAGATACCTGGGTATAACCAACCTGAGCTGGGATTTTTAAATATAATATTAGTACCTTAACCTTTTCATTGGCACCCTGGGTGTCACCTACAGGGCAGGGAAAGCATCTCCATATCGCTCCACACTTAGTGTAATCGAGAGGTTCGTCGCGATGTACTCATCAGGTCCCGCTTCGGCGATCACGTTCATAGATGCCAGATGCTTCATGATGCGCGCTGGGAGGCGTAAGTAAAACACAACTCGACCTGAGAAATACATGCCAGGATGGCAAGTAGATTAGTGGATACTTACACAACAAGACCGGATCACTCTGTGTAGTCACCGCAAGCTCTGCGACAGACTTGGGCTTGTCCCGAGATAACTCGCTGAACACACCCATAGCGAGGGCCGTTTCAATAGCAGCGTGCAGAGTAGCCTACAGCCGAAACCGTTAGTTAGATCTCAGCCAGAATACACATCGCAAAACATCTTCTAAAATCCAACTAAAAGGCAAGGGCTTACTGTAGTCCAGCACTGTCTAACAATCGCTTCTCGCGGGGTCTCCAGCGCATTCGCTAAGGATCTCGCAGCATCTCGCAGTCTTAGTCTTTCTTGTGAATCCTCCAGAGAGATGGATTTGTGGGATGCGATCTGGTCGATAAGAGCCGGAACAGCCTCTGGTGCATTTGGTGAAATGGCAATCGTGTCCACGCTCACGTTCGATTGGGACGGCACATGGCCGTTGGAATGGGTGGATTTCGTATGGTGTCCATTGGTGTGATGGCCATTGATGTGATCTCCGTTGTTATAATGTTCAATGGCCCCTGAGCCGTTTTTATGAGGCATTGTGTGGTTATTTTGGGTATGCTTTCGGAGTGAGTTACAAGGGCTATGCAAGATTTCCGTTTGAAAGGCGCCTTCTACTACTTAATATGGGTCGGCAGCCAGACGGAATGAAAAGCCTATGTAGGCTTCTCGCCTTGCGCGCTTCCATAGCACTGCAATATAGCCCGCACTAGAATACTTTTCCCATGATACCTAGAGCAATATAGTTAGCCTCCATTCCCTTCCGTGCCCACCGAGGGTTTAAACCAAGGAGACAAGCCTGGTACTGCAACCTCCACTGGTCATTCATCTCAAGTCTGCCCACTCTGGCGACCTGCAGTAGGGTCGCTAATGTAACGGCGACGCCTTAATAGACTCCACTCCCTGGAGAGGGGTAGTAATGACCCTAATTGGTTGCTTGTTATGCCCTTGGCAGATAATGAAAGTTCATACCAATGGTCCGGCTAGGCCAAAGACGCGTGCTACATTAACGCAGGCTCCATATCGCTGGATGCAATGGCAAAAAACAGACAGGGTTTACAGAGCTCCTTCTCTATGTTCTCTCTGTGACTAGCTGGCACCGTGAGTAACTAGACATGGGGGGTTGGAACGGAGAATTAGTTTAGAGTATCCGCACGAGTGAGGTGACAGCGGCAATATGACATTGTGTTAGTCTCTCCACCAATTTCTGGTGGGTGTCAGAGACTGGATTGGCCTAGCTTCTTAGTGCGGCACTCTCACTAAATAGATCACGGAAATAGCAGTATAATTAATTCTGTCGCAGAGATAGACGGGGTTCGAGGACGGGCGTGCGCTCATGAGATAGAGTCCGGCTCCGACGGCTTCGCACCAAGAGCTATTAGCGCACTTTTATAATGTGCCGCTGCTGCGCCGTATTCTGGAACTAGTCTATCTCAAATAACAGGCGCCAAACGGGATTCGCGAGATAGGTGCCGTGTAAGTACAAGGGTCCATACCAATAGATCCTACAATCGCAAGAATCGAAGTACCAGGGGTAATTCATTCATCTTGAGCCAGGAGTAGCTGGCATCAGCGAAATGGTTATACTTGTGCCACGCGTTTCAGTGAGCGTAGTGAAGTTTGTCTATGCCAGTGCTGTTAAAAGCATCCGTGTCTCAGTAACAAAAGCAGAGGTACCCCTGAGACGGACAAGGGTTGCTTTCAATCAATTATCATTGCGCAAACCGGACAGCTGACTAGCAGGGATACTCGCATAGCGCATGACACCACACTTCGCGCCATTGACATCCATAGACCCGGGCATGCATCGTACTTTTGAACTGCCCACTTGTTACAATGTCTATAGTGGGACATCCGATGGATAATTTATTATGAATAGGAGATGGTTAAATGTTAGCACTATGGTACGACCCTGTAGCGACGGTGTACTTGGCTGTTGGGGAACTCTGCGGTGCCAAGAATATGGTGGATCGTCCAGGTAAGACAAGCAATATAGGCTCATGACGTTCAGCCTTAAATGTTGCTGTAGGGGAAAGTGACATTCAGCCACATGTAGTCAGTGTTCGGAAGCGCTTCGAAGTTGCGCACAAGCACTATCTTTTGATCGTCTATCTCAAGGGAGTATTGCAATCTCAGAAATCACCGATTAGCTGGAAATATTTGAATGTATAAAAGCAATTTCTATTATCAATCTAAATTGCGGGCAGTGGCGTCTAAAAGGACAAAGAAAGCTGCGTACGTAACTCACTAAAGTATTGCACTATACGCTAGGGATAGAACGGTGCGAGATGGTGCGTGACGCCGGCGCCGGCGCCGTCGCTGGTGGAACCGGACTCCAGGCAGAAGCTCGTTCGGAAGTCGGAACTGTGGGAAGGTCAAGAAGCTCGGTTAATATTGGGACCTGTTCATTTCATGTGCTCTTTGCCTTCCTTGATCGATCCCAACTATTCCGTAGTAGCGTCCAATCCACTAATCTCGATCTAGCAATGACCGTCTCCTGCTTATTCCAACACGGACAGTGTGTTGAACCCTGATATGTCGGGCATGTTACCTCGGCCGACAATATGATCGAGGCTCGGCTCTAGGCCGAAAGTGATTTCACATTATTAAATGATGTTTATGAGGGTGCCACGTTTCTGTGCCGCTATTGGTTTGCTTTCCTGGGGATTTACTGGACGGCTTCGATGCTATCGTCTGTGTCAGACAGTAGTAGATCGCACATTATTCCTGGTCAGAGTTTCAATAAATTTACATTACTCTGGATCTAGGTGTCTCGGCTCCAGAGCCTAGAACCAGAATAATATAAAGGTTGAAGGCAAAAGATTCTCTATGAAACTCTATGGCGACTTCGGATGCACGAGATGGTCCGTAATCGGCCTTCGAAGTGACAGGGATTATGTTGCACAGCTAGTGAACTAATTGACACTAGAGGAAAAGCAAATCCTGTCAAAGTACATTGAAAGGACTGTACGTAAACCCCTTAGCTGGATCTCTGGATAGCCTGAGTCGCGAATTGAATCTTTGCTGGAATCACATCAACGGAGGACTGTTTGATGCTTGCGGCATTCGAATTATCCATGTCCAACCAAAGCTGTGGATGCTGGATACGAAGCGATGGCTGCTGTATCTCCAGAATATGCCCACCAGACTAAGGGCCCACGAATATTGGCTGTCTTTTGGGCCATGACCAGTCTTGCAATTCTAGCTGTGGCAGCCAGGCTCTTTATCCGTCTCAAAGTCTTGCGCAACCCAGGTGCAGATGACTGGCTGATCGCAGCGTCAATGGTGAGTCAATTACACTTTTATCCAGGTCCGACTGCCACAATTGCCCTTTTTCTGTAAAGTCTGACGATCATTAGGTTTTCAGCATATCATATTCTGTAGTAACCACGGTCGATGTCGCTCTAGGTTATGGAAAACATGCAGTCGTCATAGCAGATAGACTAGAACTCGTTCTGCTAGTCAACTATATCAACTTCGCCTTGGGTATAATATCCTTCGCCTTACCCAAATTAGCCGTGGCAGCCCTGTTGAGCCGTTTTCTGAATCCGACAACTATACAACGTGCGATCTTGTGGGGGCTGACGGGGTTCGTGGCACTGGTGTCGTGCATCTGCATTTTGGTGCTCTTTACCATGTGCGATCCAGCAAGAGCTCTTTGGGACACGTCCCTCCTGTCGAAGGGCGCGCATTGCCGGAGCTCGTGGATCCTTGTGGACTATGCCATCTTCACTGGAGGTAGGTGTGACCCTAACAGAATGATAAGATAAGCCGAGCCTAAACAGTGATAGCCGTATCTGCTTTTACGGATCTCTATTTGGCCATTTATCCGACAGTCATTTTGCTGAAGCTCCATATGTCGCTGCGGAAAAGATTGGCATTGTGTGCAGCGTTGGGCCTGAGTGCGGTGTAAGCAAGAACTCAAAAAGCTCATTGTCATCAGTAATCGCTAACAAACAAGAATATAGCGCTTGTGCAATGGCAATCATTAAGTGCATGCAGCTACCGGGCCTTGCTGATCTCAGCGATACGACATGTAAGTTGCTTATAACGAAACGCCGTATGACCGGAGTCCGACTGACACTATAGCAGATGCCACAGCAGATCTTGTGATCTGGACAAGGTAAGCCAATATGTGTTACTCTGTGGCACCAAGCCGTTGTTGAGAGAAAATCCCAGACATTGACAATATTCTCGACAGTATCGAATCGAACGTCGTGATCCTAGCCTCATGTATCCCCACGTTACAACCGCTTCTCGAAATAATTCTCGGAAAGCGCAGTTTGAGAAGTACCAACAGATATCAATACAAAGAGAGTAGTACACAACTGCCCGAGTCCAACAAGTGGAGCAGCAAGCGGTCCGCACACCGGAAAAGCAAAGGCAATACGATGGTCGCAGATGTTGGCAGCCAGGATAGCATTTTGCAGACAGTTGACGGGGACGAGAGCCATTATATGGGGCACATCCGTCGTACAGATAACATCACCATTGTGTACGAAAGTGTGACGCCACAGTCAGGTGGTGCTGATAATACAAATAATCATGTAAAATAGGAGGACTACACTGACGGCGTCTCCAGCATGTTCTTTTCTTTTCTGCCTTCTTGTGAGTTGGTCTATAATAACGTAAATGTCGTTTCTCCATTGTCTAGGTGCAATTTCATACGAGTGCTTCTAGAAATCCTGGAGAGTTGGAGTATTCCAACTAATTTGGATTCGAATGCTCGCTGAGTTGGGAAGTTAGCGTGATGGTCCAGCACTATTAGGCTGAATGTTGCGTTGCTTCCATACCTTCAGATCGCTGGCACAACGCATATCTTTCAGTATGCGATTATGTACGTATGCCGGCTCTGGACTACTAGCTTTGCATGTGCCTGATATCCCGCAGTTGGATGTATCATCCAAAAACGAACCGTTTCCAGTTTTCAGCGAGCTGTTGAACGCCTTGATGTAAATCCCATCCGCGGATATCGCAGATCTGTCGAGCGATTTCCTCAAGCAGGTCATCCATTTGTTGCCCCGCCGTATGCAGATCGCTCTCAATGAGTACCCTATCATCAGGCAAAGCCTTGATAACGTCGATGACCTTCTTTGACGAAGGTCCACCGAAGTTTATCACAGAAGAGAAGGAGAAGTAGACGTCTGATGGATTGGATTGATGCAGGAATTGCTTCAATGGCTCCACCGGTCCGGAGTAAGAATGCATGCAGATCCGTGGTGGGAATGGGAGAGACTTTTCTTCTGGCTTTGCAGGCTCCTGTTGCTTTCGTTCGTCCTCTGCGTCGCTCTCTGCATGCGCATCTGCAACGCTATATCGTCGGCGTCTCTCCCGCCGTGAGGCGCTCTTCCGCTCATGCCCAGACCAGAGGCCCTTGAAGAGGTCAAAGACCGCCCCATGAGCTTGAACGCTATGCACAGAAACTGGTCGTTGAAGTTCTCCAGCTAGGCGCAACTGAGCCTCCAAGACGGCTTTTTGATGCGCCAACTGAACACGATACGGCGAGAGCTGTCTACCTTCGCGCGACCCGGGGGTCATTCGCTCATCCCGAGTTTCTTTTTCCTCCTCAGTCCACGCCCTGGGAAGCCTAAAAGCACGATCAAGGCCTACCTCACCCACAAGAGAACGGGGATACGCCAGCAACCGTGCTCGAGATTCCGACAGCAACTCTGACAGCGGCTTCGGATCAGGTAACGACAGGATGAAGTCATCATCTGGCTCTGGAATAAGGGCCTTTCTATAGTGCAGCTTCTTCCGCTCAATTGGTGAGGCATTATCATTGGTATCGGGTGAACCAGTCACATCGTCGATGATTTGATGCGAGAACCATGGGTGCCAGCCAAAGCACGGAAGCACAGGCCCTGTTGTCGAACTTTGGGCGGACTCCTGACCCTGGGTCAAGGATGTGGCGGTCTGAAGCACCAAGTCTTGGTCCTCTCCGCGAGTGGACATGACTGTCAATGTCGATATTTTCATCTGGGGGATTTCCGCAATGGATGACATGGTGTCAGTGGGGTGACAATGGGCGTCAAACACCCCCAAGTGCCAAGGGAATGCATCATTCTGATTGGCCTCCGACATGGTGCATGTGAAAAGGAAATGCCAAAAGGCTGAGGAGGAGTTCGAGTGTCAAGGCAAAAAGAATAATGTTTCCAGAGGTAGCTTGGGGATGTGTTGATTGACAAACGATGGATGATGAATGAATGGAGAGCGAAGCTGTGACGTAAGGAAAAGCCCGCCGATACGAACGCGATACGCGGTGTACTGATGCCTGGGGCAGACAGCGGATATGGAGCATCACATGCTTCTTCATTGTCTGCTTCTCCGCATTTTAGATCTGAGGATGCAATCATGATTGCTATATTCCCTGCATGAACACTGCAGGACTATTCCTTCCTACTATAGCCATGCCATTTGCTTCTCATATATCTAGTAGGGAAACATATATTCCCATGTATTCAACATCCTCCTTCCACCTTCTATAGCCCACTCTATAGCTGCCCTAGTCCCCTCATCTTCATGTCCTCTATTTCCGCCTTCGTGACTCTTCCCCTCCTCACTCTCTTCTCCCTCCCTCTCGCCGTATTCGCATGCTTCACCACCTTCATTTCCATCGTATTTCTTGTCCTCCGCTTCTCTGTCATATATATCGAACTATGTCTTGCCATAATCACAAATTATTTTGTCATCCCAACAGCCGCCAACACCTCCCTCCTCAACTTCTCCGCATCTGAGCCCACCACTCCAGCAGCCTCCACGACACCCAAGCGTCGCTCCGTCGACCACAGCTTAAACAACGGGCTCCTTACTGCCCTCGCAACATATCGTCCAAGCCCCAATGCTCCTCGCCGAACGAACAGTTTGACCACTACAGCCTCCACCTCCTCAACCCAAGACACCAGCACTGTTCCACTCTATCGCAAAGATGAACCCCCAAGAAACACACCCCCACGCCACTCCGCCCCCTCTGCCCTCCTAACCCTCATCAGTGGCGACGAAGGCCGCGATTTCGAAGGTCTAGGTGGCTGGCGCTGTGCAACCACAGCAGCAGCAGCAACAACAGCAACAACCACCACCACCGCCACAACAACAAGATATCCAGGCCATCCTCTCCTCTCAGACACCGCCTCCCCCTCACCAAATCTCACCAGTACCGACCACGACGAAAGAGCATGGCTATCCATCAACGAGCGACTAGAACTTCCCTCTCAGCCACTTTTATTCATCCGAAACAACAGCAACAGCAGCAGCACCAACAGTGAACCCTTCGAAGCTCTCCCCTGGAGACATCGACAAATGGCTTCAACCAGCCCTCCCCCCGGAGGCAACAGTAGCATCACCCGCCATCACCATCGCTCCGCAACCACCTCCTTACTATCCACTAGCCTGTCCCCGAAATCCTCACTGCCAGATGCTCTAGATCATCCACAACGTAGGGCTATCTCGCCACCACTATCACAGCAACAACAGAACAGAAACACGCTCTTCTGCACCCCCTCACCTACCGAGAGGTTCCCAAGCGCATCGATCCCTCGAGTATCGAGTCCGACTGATGGATCAGGGGGATATTTCTCCTTGCGACCCGGTAGCACAAGCAGCACGAGCGGGTCAACTACACCAGGTGAAGAGCGACGATCACCTAGACCCTCGGCCAAGTCTATGGTGCATTACCCCGCTGGGGTGAGATATCGGAGGAGAAGTATGTCGGGGCCGAATAGTGGGGTGAAGTTGACCAGGGCGTCATCAGGGACGGAGCGGGTGTTGTAGCTGATCATATTGATCGTGATTATGGTCATGTACACGCTCGTTTGGTGGCGTTGTTTTTGTGGGATGTCTGGATAATGTGCTATCTAAGTAGTATTTTCCGACTGGATATGACAGGGGTAATTCTCCATTTTCCTAGCGATTTACTGATCATGGCACACGAATCTTATATTTTCTATACTTCAATGCTATTTTCCCATCACATTCCTACTTCTACCGTTAAGGTATTTACATTCCACGTAGTCCATGATCGACAGATACCTTTGAGACATCGCCTGATCTATGAAGAATCGAACCCATCATGTATTTACTGATTCCAGAAGAAAACGAAAGAACAAATCCCGCTATTTAGTGACCCAACACATCATGAACACCTCTTGAAACAAAAATGAAAGTTCTGACCTTTTGTTGGTCAGATTAGACTGTATAGTAATGCAGAGCTCTATGAAGATCGATTAGCTCTCTCCTTCTCAGCCACCTGCTCCATCTCAGCCAAGACGATCCGGTTGAATTCTTCCCATCCGTCCAGATAGATATGATGGCCTGCCCTCTTGATGATGACCACCTTGGCCGAGCCATTGTCTGTTTCGCGTTCCTCTACCGTCGCGTTTTGCAGGATACGCTCCTTCTCTTGATCCAGCTTAGCCTTCGCGGCTATTCCGCCCTTCACGTCCATCCAGTCGTGGTCACCATACATGAAGATGATGGGGAGACCGTTTTCGCGCTTAGGTGTCGTTGAAGGGGACTGGGTAGGGACAGAGGTGGTAGAGGAGGATTCGGAAGTAGACTGGGAGGTGGTCGTTGCAGCTGCGGCCTTCGCAGACTCAAGGACAGCAGATGCGGGGGATGGGTTTTGCTGGATGTATTGACGACCGACGCCCTCGATGCGGCGAATTAGCGGGCTGCGGGCGAAAGCGCCCGGCGCGAGAATGTACGATAGAGCGTACTCGCCGCTGCCGCGCATGCTGAAGATCGAATACGAATAGTCGTGCAGAGCCTTGGCCTCCTCTGCCGGGAGATGAGAGAAACGCCGGGATGTCCACCCGGAGACCAGGCGCGGACCGAGCGGTCCCGCCCATCGCACCAAACTGAAGGGGGAGATGTTGGCATCCCAAAGGTAGGCGAACCACTTGGGAACCATGCGCCGGGGCGGCTGGTCCGGGGAAGCACCACTATTTGTAGGGGAACCCTTCAGCAGGATATTGTTGTCGCCTTTCTGAAGCTCAGCCGGGGGAACCGAAGAGGCGGATTCGGCGATATTGCGCTGGTTCTGGGTGAGCTCATTCGCCATAGTCGACTCGTTTGGCGCAGGCATTTCTGCCCGCACAGCATATGGATCCTCTGGGATTCCCACGGGGGAAGCTAGGATAAGCTTGTTGAGTCGCCCCGGATATTTGAGAGCGTATGCCACGGCCATGTAGCCTCCCAAACTATGGCCGAGGAGTGTGAAACGGTCGATGTTGCGCTTGACTCGCCATTCTTCTAGCGCATCCACGAACCATGCCTCTGCCTCTTCGATGGCCTGCTCACGCTCCTTCGCCTTGATGCGAAAGGGCGGCCGCGTGCTGCGGCCCATGCCCAGGAGGTCCAGCGCATGGAGTTGCCACCCTTTCAGGCGACTAAGCGGCTCAAAATTTTTATAGAAGAACCCCAGACCAGCACCGTATCCATGAAGCATGACCAGATGTTGATCTGCTTCTTCACCAATGCGCTCGACTGAGAACTCGTTCAGAGCCCGATTCTTCCCGCTCAGCTCCACCATGCTGGAGCGCCACATTCGGGGGCCGTATGGATCATTGGTAGAACTGGCTGATACCTCACCCTGTTGGGTTTGATCGGCGGACTGGAGACTGCCTGTGCCTCCGGAAACATTGCTCGTTTTACCGGTCTGGAGGTGGGTTGGGGGTTGATGCTGGAGATAAGGGAGGTGGGAAAGAACTCTGTGTTCGGCTGTGGCGGCGGGTAAAGACGCCCACTGGAAGAAAACCCAGTCTCAGTCACCCATGCGACAATTGACTTTGTTCCTCAGTAATGAAACGTACCCATTGACTAAAGCCTTCCCTGTAGCCTAGGGGAAACCAGGCCAAGGGGGGAGGCGTTGCGCTGGCTCCGCGCGCTGCATGTGGCGTACTCTCTCGGCCAGAAGCCACGGGTTCCTGGCTGCGGCCGCGGAACTGGCCGCTGGGCGAGTTGAGCGACTCGGAGGCCATCGTAGATGTAGACGACGAGCGTCTAGATTCCGTCGGTCGGGAAGAAGAGGAGATGTATCGAGCGCTTTCAAACGAGGTCCAGGAACGTGAGACTGGGACCTGAAAAGAAAGCGAAGGGAATCGCGCGATCGACACTTTGTCGCCAGGAAAGACGGAGTGACAGAGGAAAAAGCTCTGTCACTCTCTCGGGCTGCAACGGAGAAGAAGGGGGTATTTATTTAAGAACAGCGAGTGGAAAATAGATTAAGTTCTGTTTTTAGGAGGGCGCAGTGGAGAGAGTAAGAAACAAGTCAGTGGAACAAAACGAGAAACGGTTGAGGACAACGCCTAAGACCGTTAACCCCGATCCGAGATGGAGTTAAAGAATACAGTAGTTTGTGAGTTTAGGCAACCAGAGATGATGACGCTGAAGATAGATAATAAATGAGTCAGCAGTACCTGTCCTGCACAATTAAAGACTCGGAATGTCAAAGACAGCACATGCATGCAAAAGAGAGGCAGTAGATTGGAACAAAAGAGGGGGAGGAGGAGGAGGAGGAGGAGAAGGCAGAAAGTTGAGAAAAGGAACAGCTGAAAGTCCAGCGGAAGTGGAGCCTCAACCAAGTGTTGGCCGATTGGAATGAATGGATGACGATGCTTCACTCTTTCTTGTCCTTTCCTTCTCCCTCTCCCTCTCCCTCTCCCCATACCTTTCTTTTTTCCTGTCTTCCTCGAAACCTCTTCTTTTTCCTTCCATGCGATGAGATAGCGCTGGGCCGCAAAGGCCAAAAATCCACCCTCCGTGTTATTGAATTATTCCCCTGCGATCTGAGCCTCGGAGCTTAATTCTGGTCCATCTAACTATTCTTTTCCGTCCTGACGAACCCGATCTCCCTGGCCCTTCCTCGTCTTTCCTCTTTCTCTGGCTTCCACTCCAGAGCTCATCATGGCCTCAGCAAGCCTAGACCAACTGGTCAAGGGCTCTCCAGCACCCAACAATCGTCTTGCATCTTCTGCGACATCCTCCTCCGAATCATTGGCGCCTGCATTTCACTCCCAAGCTCCCTCTAGCGATCCCTCTTCCCCGCCACGGTCGTCAACTCCCGATCCACTGTCGACCCTCCCCTCTTCCCCACCCCAGATATACCTCAATCTCCTCATTCTCGAGAGCTCTCTGCGAGCTCAGTACCTGGCTCTCCGGGAACGCCGCCGACAAAATACATTTTTCCTTCTCTTGCTTGCCGCCTGGATCGCCTACTTTGCCTACGCGCTCTTTCTCCGCCCGCGCGAAGATGGCCGCGGTGTCGGAGGATCGGTCTATTGGGTGGTCGAAATGGGAGAAAAGGTTGCCCTGATGGGTGGCGTGGTCACTGCCCTCCTGGTCTGGGGAACAGGGCAATGGGAACGGGGAGTTCGTTGGCCGCGGCGCTGGCTCGCCGTAGCCAACCGCGGCCTCCGCACCATGAACACCAAGATCGTGGTCATCCGAGGTCCCTGGTGGCAGGAACTCTTCTCCTACCTCTCTTTTCTCTTCCCCTTCTCTGCACCCTTTTTTCCGTCCCCCGTGGGCGATTTCCACTACGTCGAGCGCCCTGCGTCCGAAAGACGTGGTAGTCGGCAGCACTACCAGCAGTACTACAACCACGACGCGGAATCAGGTCTGGTACAGGAAGACCTCAGCCCGGGAGGGGACTACATTCGACTTCTTCTGCTGCCGAAGTCATTCTCGCCCGAGTTTCGCGAGAATTGGGATGACTACCGCAGCGAGTTCTGGGACAAGGAGAATGATCGTCGTGCTCAGCTGCGCCAGAAGCTGCGCCAAAGGGAGCGTCAGCTCGCCCAGCAGGATGGCGGCTGGTTCTGGTGGTTCGGATTGAGTTGGAAGGCGTCGCAACGCCGACGAGTCGCTGCCGCAACGATCAGCCGACCCGGCGATGCTGACAAGATCCCACATCGTCCTCATCACCACCACCATTCGTCCAGTATCTCAAAGCTCGTCCATGAATCCAAGTCGCCCTTGCGACGCGGCGGACCACGCTCCGAATCCCACTCCCGCACGCCATCACGCAGTACTACCCCCGTTGACACTGACGACCGACCCCCGTCCAGGTCTTCGGTCAGTGGCCGTCCCCGCCGCGGAAGCACAAGTCCAAGCACAGAACAACAGATTCAGCAATCACGAAAGAAGAAGGCATCCAAAGCCGCCACTCGTGGTCTGTCTCCTCTGACGCAGGCCCAAATCCGAGAGGGCGTGCGCACCCCATCCTTTTCATCCGACGATTCCTCCTTTATGGGCACACCCAGCGAGAAAGAGAAACCCAGGGAAGATGGTGCTGAATAGAAATTCTCTCCGGTCCTTGGTCTCTCAAACCAACACCCATTCTGGTCTAATCTACCAATTATCCCCCGTATGTCCATCGCCAATATTATACCCTCTGAATTGCACACTACACACTACACACAAACAAATACTATCTCATCTCGATGTACTTACCGCCGTCGTCGTAGGGTGTGTGTCGAAATAAAGCTCTTCTCCTCTCTTCTCCCTACCCTTTCTCTGCATTGCCGATTTTTGTCTCATACATTTCGGTATTTCCGTTTTCTACCCCAAATCCGATGGATTTCTTCTCTTTTTAATACCCCTCATATTCTATCATCTTTATAGTGCATTCTTACTTTACCTTTCCCGTTTTTGGCATCAGGGGGTATGGTATAACTATGCGACTGAACTTACGTCCCTTAGAAAAAGATTCGAAGAAAGATTAGATCAGAATCAGTTTAGTCCTTGGTCTGGATAGTATATACGCATGCATATATGATTATCTCTCTCTCTCTCTCTCCCTCTCTCTCTTGTCTTTTTGATTTTTGCGGGTACTACGTACATGCCCTTCCCGTGGAGTACTAGATACACTGAGTAGTGAGTGGGACAGACTAAACTAGCCTAAGTAGTAAGTACGTAGTGGGCAAACTCAAATCCAGGCCTGTTCCTGCGCCTCGGATGTAAGGGGTATGCATGATAAAGGGGCAAACTACTAACTGTAGTAGTGAAAAAAAGCAATGAAAGGGAAGGACTATCTACTAGACTAGGGGAGGGGTTGAAAAAGGAAGTATAGTTTAGTACTCTGTTAGTCTAGTATCTAAGTTTAGTCTCTCAAGAACCTTATTCCGGCCTATCATATCATGTTATATCAATGTATATCAGGAAGCCCTAAAGTCCGGGCTTCGGTAGATAGTTAGCTTGTAGACATTGGTGTGTGGAGAATATGATGGATGGCATTTCGATTAGAAAGTGATGCATGCACATGGAGGAAGTAGAAGATTAGAAGCCGAGTAATATAGATGATGAGTTTCCGAGACGCCGAACTATCCGTAACAATAGGTTATATGTAATCAAGCAACATAGAAAAAAGTGTAAAGAAATCATGCGCGTGATTCAGCCGTCAGATAGGTATCCATCCCATTTCTCTAGGTCGTATAACGTTGTAAAATGAGTTTGAGTGGTTTATTGTTTATTTTTGATTAGATTCTGTAGACGGTTTCGTCATCCTCAAGGTACCTGTTTCGCAGAATTCATTAGCACTTGTGTCATGTTACGGGGACAACGGTTAGGGAGCTTACATCAATTCGTTCCTCTCATTCATAGCCCTCAGGGCTTGGATCGCTTCTCCGCGCTGGAAGACGTGCGATTCGCCGAGGGAAGGTGTGTTGCGCAGCGCAGTGTTCACAGCTCCGATGAGCGATTCGACGTCGGCGGTGTCACCGTGGGTGAACAGTCGTGTGCCCATCAGAGGACCCAGTGCTTGCCTGAAGACAGTCAAGCGAGCGGGCTGGATCGGCTCAGATGAAGCAGTCGTGTTCTGCGACTGCGAGTTGTCTGTCTGGGACTCGACTAGCTGCGATGCGGGTCGAGATGAAGCCACAGACATCCGGGACTGGCTTTGTGTTTGTGTCTGCGTGCGGGATGTTTGGCTAGAGCGGAGTCGTTGTCCACGGGGACTAGAATTGTACAAGCCATCGCCATCCTCGGAGACAGCATCTCCGTCCGCATCCATCTCTGCGTCCTCGTTGGTGGCGGAACGAGCGTTGGCTGCACGGGATCGGAGACCGCCTCTCCTGGATGATCTGGGGGTGGCGCTGGATGTTTGCGCAGGAGTGTTATCGTCGTCAGAGTCAGAGTCGCTACTGTCTGAATCTTCGTCAAACGAAGCGACCTTTCTCCTCTTGCGGCGCTCATCTTCAACGAGTTCCTTGAACATGGCGAACCGGAGGATAGACTCTGCGACCTTGGCGTCGCGCTCCTCGACTCTGTTGGAGAGGCGTGACTTGGCGTGGGCGGTGGATAGACGAATCAAGGTTTCCAAGGTACGAGCAGTAATGGGCGATGTTCTGCGCTGGTTACCAGACAGTTCGTCGTTTCTCAGAGCAGAATATGTTGCGACAATGTGGTCGGCGGCACCCTTGGTCAAGACGGGCTTGACACGAGACTTGGCGTATTGAATGTATTTCTTGATGAAGGGAATGCTCAAGATTTCAATGTTCTTGCTCTTGGACCGGCTCATGTGGGCCATGCCGGCGTGAAGCATGACATTGAACTTCTCGTAAACATCTGTAGGCTGGTTCGAGTCCTGCGTATCCTCGAGGCCGACACCAAGCGTTTGGTGAAGCTGTTCGCGGACAGGAGCACCCTCCTCAGTACCGGGCTGGCGGTAGCGATGCATACGGAGGACGTGCTCTGACACCATTCTGTCCCTTGAATCCTCAATGTCATCGGTCACGACGAAGAGTAAATCGAAACGCGACAATAGAGAATCCGGAAGGGCAATGTTCTTGTGGGGGTCTTTGTGGGGGTCGTATTGTCCGTAGATCGGATTGGCGGCGGCCAGAACACTGCATCGGGCGTTCAAACTCGTGTGAATACCGGCCTTCGCAATGGTGACAGTCTGCTGCTCCATGACTTCGTGGATAGCCACACGATCAACATCGCTCATCTTGTCGAACTCATCAATGCAGACCACACCGCGATCACCCAGAACCATGGCACCAGCTTCAAGTCTCCGCTCGCCAGTTTCCTTGTCAGACGTGACGGCAGCCGTAAGACCAACACCGGAAGATCCTCGACCTGTCGTGGCAATCGCAAGCGGGGCGGTGTTCAAAACGAAACGAAGCAGTTGAGACTTGGCGGTCGAAGGGTCACCGACCATGAGAATGTTGATATCACCACGCAAATGAGTGCCGTTGTCCAGGTTCTTCTCCATACCACCGAGCAGCATGAGCAGGATGGCCTTCTTGATGTAATCATGTCCGTAGATACTGGGCGCGAGCGAGTGCGACAAGAGTTCAAAAACGCCCTTCTTCTTGGAGACCTTATTGATGTTGCGGATGTCGGTGTCGGTAATGGTGGCCTGTGCGATTCCTCCACCGGACTTCGAAGACAGTTGGATAATGTTATTCGCAAGGACAAGCGTGCGGAATGTAGCAGACGTAGACGAAGCGTTTCTGTTACCCAGAGAGCGGTAAACTCCGACCAACTGGATTCTGTCTCCTGGCTTAGCCCGATCAACCAGATCATCGTCAACAATCACATCCACACTCCGAGGCAGCTGGCCAGCCGGGGCTCTCTCAGGCATTTCTTGGATCGAGATAGTCTGGTGGTCCATATACGTGGAGAAACCGTATTCTGTGACAAGCTAATATGACGAAAAGTATTAGCCTCAAAATATAGGTACTGTACCAAGCGAACATACCGGATTCTTCTCCTCGTCTTCCTGGGGATAGATGCTCATGCTCGTGGCACCACTGGCCGTCATCGTCGCATCAATGTACTTTCTCGTGAGAAACTTCTGACCGCGCTCGCTCCAATGTACACTCTGAATGATCTTGGGTCGGACCAAAGAGCACTTCGTGACGATACCCTCGAGGGAGATCATTCGGTTCAGGTGGGAGGAACCGAGCGTTCTAGGGTTGCAGGAATATTCTCCAAATGCGCCAACAAAGCCGCAATGGTAGTTCTAGATACTGTTAGAAGCCAAACGAGCATCGTGGAGGTGCCCAGTTTCCCATACCACATCGTCTCCCGTTTCCCTCGATGGCCTATTCGGCAAAGTCTTGATAATCTCTTTAAGGGCCTTTTCGAAGGCATCGGAGTATTCATATGGCGACGTGAGAAGGCTGTAAGCGATTAGCCAGAGCGCCTGTTTGAGGAAGCGATTATTTCCTACCCATCGGCCATCTCACGGTTATGCGCTCGGATTTCATCGATGCTAACCTGCGCAACGTATGGCATTAGCTTCCGGAACCCATATGCTATGGCCAATGTATGAGGTTATATGCATACTATCAATCGACGCAATCCCCGATTCAACATCAACAGAATATCAGCCCGGTAACTAGTCGCTGGTTAGCATCTGCCATGGCGTGGTCTGCCATAGTTGTTAAGAGTGGGTTGGTGAGCAACGGACCTGCGCGCTCTCGCATCACCTATATTAGAATCGAGTTAGCCTATTGCAATCCATTGGAGCAAGTCTGTCCGGGCTTACTGGGGTCAAGAAACTCGACGGCGGCACGCACTCGATCCTGTGCGGCGTCGTCAAACTGTCCCTCCATGGCGGCGGACTTTCCCACGGACTACTAGTAAGAAGAAAATAAGGGGTATCTGGGGAGAATTGACAATGAAGCGTGGAAACAGAAAACAGCTAGAAGGGTGGGGTCCAGTGGGAGAAAAGCAAGCGGGGAGAAATGTCGAGGTGATTTTTGATGCTCGTTGATGGGGAAGAAAGGGTGGGTTGCCGGGAGGATCTTTCAGGTTGCCATACGCGACAGCTCAATCGGGTAATATTGGAGCGCGTCCGCCAGAAGGACGCGTGCTACCGTGTCAGTATATTAGATGAGTCAGCCGTACATAATCCATGCATAGTTATATAATACATGCATACGAGGACTTGTGCTCTAACAACTACTCCGTGCAACAGCAGTAGTAATACTTTGTATATTCCTCCTAATATTTTCTATCTACTTCCAAATCATTTGGATCTATTTACATGAAAATCATCTCTCAAGCCTCATTCACAGCGCTACAATCATAAAGCACTCCTAAAGGAACCGCAGCTTCCGAATGATTATAGCCCAAGTTCAACGCCATAATCTGTCCCACGGCGCCCCCATAGTAAGTAGCAAAGTCTTGCAGGGTGCCATAGCCCAAAGTAAACTGTGTCATGGTACATGCAGTATTGTCACAGATGGGAATCTTCACTGTCTCGCCCGTCTGAAGGACATCATAGGGGCCAGGGTTCAAAGCGGCAATATACCCAGTTTGGGCGGTCTGGTTGATAACGGACTCGACCGTGATGTTAAAACGTTCGTTGGCAATCTTCTGAATCGTATCTCCAGGCATGATAGTATACACGTGTGGACCACTATCGATACAAGTGTTGGTGGCCTCGGTGTTGTTGGTGCTGAAGCAACTCATATCATCTGGGAAGGTCGGTTGAGCAGGGATGCGAAGCACCTCGCCAGCATAGATGAAGTTGGGATCAGCAAGGATATTCAACCTGGCGAGATCACAGGTTCCCACGCCGTATTTGGCGGCAATTGCCGACAAAGTGTCGTTCTCTTGAACAGTATAGGTCTCGTTCAAGGCGGTAATATCTAGGCTTATCACAGTCCCCGTGGTTGGGAGGGCTGTAGGTAGTGTGAAGAGTTAGTGTAGATAATGGAATTGAGACAGAAAAGATCACGGACCATCATAAGTGGATGCTGGGAGAGCGGCAGCGACTGCTGTCAGGCTGAGAAGTGTAGCGGCGAGCATAATTATGAACTTTAGCGCTCTAACTTTTTCTTAAATGATATGGGTTGGCATACAGCTCTGACTCCCTCTGGTGCAGTAGAGTCGCCCTTTATATAAGCCAAAAAACCAAGTCAGAAAAAAATCGAAATCAACCCACCGCGAGGCCAAAGACATCACTATCCAGTTTTGGTGTCTATGACCGACTCGAGATAGCCGTGCTTCGTGAAATCTTGGTCATTGGGCACCTTTCTCGCTTTTTCTTACTCGGACTAGCATAGCTTCAACACTAAATGCAAGCTGACTGAAGCCATAGCATGGAATTTCGAGAGTCGTGCCATTCCCACATACCCCAGAGCATGGATGTCATGCGGGGACTTCCCCACAATGACCGGAGGAACTATCGGACAAATGGAAATTTGCCAGCCCCATCCGGAGCATGGATCAGTGTGGCCTAGTGTAGGTAGTATAGTGGTGTTGGTATTCATGCGACTGGATGTTTCGGGGGTCGGAGGCAATTGTAAAGTCCGATCTCCGTCGGCTTTGGGATAAGGCTTGTCCTTGACTGGGCTTAGCCAAGCAAGGTTCTTTCATGAGAGCGAAGCTAATAGTGCGTCTGATGTCACACATGCAAGAGACATCCAAGAACTTCATCAAGGCAGCCTCATGACTAAGTTAGTAGTTGTAATTTGATAGAAAATAGGTTATATGTGCTGAAATTGAAGAAGAGAATAAGTAACAAGGTCAGATCTTTCACGGTTCTTATAATACAGATTGAATCGGAGTAATTTTGAATGAATAACATGCGTCTCCTCAGTCGTCGTTCCATACGAAGTTGGATCCAGATCTAAAAACCCCCAGAACACGCACATATCATCCTTGGCTACCTCTTTGTTTGGCTCCCTAATAGATAGGCGTAAGGTAAGCGCTCAACTTCCAGAGCATGGCCTGGATAGAGGTTGCGTTCTGTTCGCAGATCATGGTGTTGTTGTCAGTCCAGTATGGGCGCGACGGCCAAGTGCAAAGCTCTTGGACCTCGCCCGCATGCTCTCCAGAAGTAACGGTGGCATTAATTGTAGTGGGCACCACACCTTCTTCCACCCACTTGACCATGTGGGCAAAATTGTCCCGAGGGAAGCCAGCATTGGGTTGCTCATCGTTGGTTGCGCAGTGGGCTGCACCAGGAACAAGATAGAACCGATACCAGTCGTTGAGTTTCTCATTACCATCAGCAAAAGAGAGGTCAGGGTACATGATCTTGCGAACCGATTCGTGGTAGTGAATAGATCCGGTCGGGGGCACACTGCTATCGGCCTCCCCGTGGTAGTGAAGCAGACGGCCTCCCTTGGAATGAAAGGGGGTCAGGTCAGGAAGCGTGGTCTGAAGAGAGTCCATGTATTTGGTCATTCCTTCGATCATCCATGCCTTTAGGTCATCGTTGGTGACTCCCCACATGTCCATTTCTGTGACATTTTGCCAGTTTAGGAACTTGGTAATCCATTCTCCGTTGGAGTTAGGAGAAGTGATCGTCCAAGAATCCGTGGTGCTGTCGTAGACCGTGGTGTCTCCAAAGCCGGCAGTAGGCTGGAAAGGAAAGTATACGAGGTCACCGTTCGAATCTTTCTGTTGTTTGGGAACCAGGTCAGCATTCTGAAGGCAAAGGAGCGCAAGTGTTGGGAAATGGTTCATACCAGTCCAGTCAGAAGATCCTCGATCACCTCAATATCTTTGGCGTTGATAGTTCCATTCTGCGCGGGAGTGGCTGAGGTCGTCTGTCTCTTGCTCCTCTTTCCGTATCCCAAGCCAAGGCTGCTGGTCGAACCAGCCTCGCAGTAGTAAGATTTACCCAGCATTGAGGAGACGTTGAAATTCTGGAAACAGAGATCGCTACGAGCAACCACCCCATCAACCTTGCCATCCATGCCATCACAGGCATTAATCGTTGCGTTAATCACCGTATCGAACACGCAAGAAGGCGGATAATATCCAATGGTCTGAATCTGGATGGGAGGAGCGATGTGATTCACCTGCTGCTGGCCGTATCGCATTGCAGGGGCTCCCGCAACGATGCCATCGTATAATTCGGGGGCACGCTGGGCTTGACTCATTGCCTCCCGTCCACCTTCAGAGCAACCGATGAAGTAGGTGTACAACTTGGTAGCGTTACTCCCAACGTTGAAGAAGTTATTGGTAAAAGCCTTTCCAATCTGGGTCATCTCGGCGATGGCCTGATATCCCCAGTTGTAGATGGCAGGCCAATTGGCAGTTCCATTTCCGAGAATGACAACATCATCGAAGTCAGTGCCACCCCAGTAAGGGAATCCGCCGTCAGTGTAGCCAGTGGCAGCCCCAAAGGCGACCCCTCCGGCGACATCACCTCCTCCTGAGCCGTTGTTGATTTCATACGCAGAACCACCTGTAGCGAGGAATCTGTTCTGGAATGTATCTGGGCTCGGCATCCAATACTGGACAACTACGCGGTCGTCACCATTCTGGTGGCTATAGGCAAAAGATACCTCGCAGAAGTTGATGGTCAAGTCCTCCCAGAAAATAGAATCGGTGAGGGAATAGTTGAGATAGACACTGGCAGATACAGAGCTGGTATCGATGGTGATTCCAGATGGAATGCCATCGCTAGCAGTGGGCAGAACGGACGTGACATAGTCAGTCGTACACACACTGTTCAGCGATGCTGCAGATGCGACACCGACAAGAGTGGCAGCAGCCAGGCAGTACATTGCAAATGAAGGGAAGGGACGGGTCTTCGACCCTAGAAAGAGCGATAGGATATAGAACAAAAGAAATTGAATGGTTACAATTGTGGAAACAGAGTAGACAGAACTGAGACTCACGCCATTATTATACCATTGGATCCTACAGTGGTGGCTCACTTGAACCGAAGCTTTGAACCACTTACTCTTTAGCACTACCAAGACACTTACGTATGTTCTAGGTACTAATTTCACGGCCTGCAACATGGGATGTTGATCATTTAGTAGCGTGTCTGGCATAGAAGATTGAGAGTCTCCGTGCCTGCGCAAATTCCCGAGAATCTTATCTTATCATTGAGCTTAAATGCGAGATCTTGAAGAATCGAAACACTTGACCACCTGTGAGTGGCTGATCAAGTCCCCAAGAGCCGGGATTTCGGGTCAAACAACATCGGTTTTCGGTCATTGCCAGTCGGAGATTCGGCTTCACTTGCCTCAATAGGTCGACTTTGCGAGCATCAGGTAGGAGACCCATCCCGCAGGCCGCGGCAGCTCGGCTCTATGCGATGTAACTAACGTACGCATAGGGCACTGGTAAGGTTATGGGGTGAAGAAGTTAAATTATTAGTCTGATTTGCCATTGGGGGACTTGTTAGCTAGATATGGCCACCAGCCCACAACAGACACAACCTTGAATCCGTCGTGGCAAGATAGGAAAGAAGGCCTATCGAAAATAAGTAGGAGGTTATAGAAAATTGAGAAATTACTTTTAACTGCAATTGCCTCTCAATCTTCATACGTACAAGCACAAAGCGAGACCAATGTATCTCTTTCCAGTACTGCCATCTTTGGGGACAACAGCAGCATCCTGATATCAACCACCTGCTCATATAGTTCAATTTCCACACCAGCTGGTAAAACGCAATCGCCGTGTGGGTAAGCGAGGGCCTCATTATTAGGGCACTGGACAAACCCTTTGGTGCCCATGTTCGGGGAGTGTGAGTCTCACTGTGCAGGAGTTCATGTTGGTGACCCTGGGGAGACTTTGATGTAGCGATAGATGGGATATTGGTGAAGGTGTATGAGAGATATATGGGAGAAAATGATCCTGAGGAAAGACGGGTTTCAAGAAGCAAGTTATACCACTGAGCATACAGAAGGATATGAAGCCGTCTCCTGACTACTAACGATGGAGTATAGCACTCAGCTGAATTGGTATGGTCTGAGTTCACATCTACATGATAGCATAGAACAGATGCAATCAGCCTTCCAGGATGATTTTGCAGCTACCTATTGACTTCGAAGTCAGCAGTCTGAGTTCTAGACGAGCTCTACCATGTGGTCCAAAGGCTGACGATTCACTGCTGCTTTGGTATGCCATTCACTCAGACGTGCATATTTTGTCGGTCATCGGTAGTTACCTACCTCTTCAACAACAATAGCATTCTGTTACAGACCAGCATGGTATGTAGAAAAAACAGCACTCCAAGCAGAGTTGAAGCTTCTTCGTTCACAAAACCCAGGAGACACACACAGTCAAGATGGAGTTGGCATCATCAGGTCATCTTACAGGCGCCGATATAATCAGTCCACTCCTGGATATGATTCGCAACACTCTGCATCTCGATCCTCTCATTGTGGTGAACTTTGGACTCCTTATAATTGGCATCATAACTTCCCTCCGCTCGACTGGAAATATTGTCTACAACTACGCCGCAAAGACATGTCTGTCAACCGTTCACGTAAAAGTCGACGATCCTCTCTATCACGACATCATCCGCTGGATGGCAGACCATGTATTCCAGCATCGCAATTTCCTCTCCGTTCTAGCGCACACCGCAAACAATTCAAATACAAGAATGATCACAAGGCTTTCACGAATGCAGGAAACCATGCACATTAATGGAACGCTCCCTCTCTGCGAGGAGGATGCCAAACGATCGTCAATCGAACTGAAGCCATTCCGTGTGTCTCGACTTTTTCGCTTCAACCAGACATGGGTTTACTTCTGTCATTCGCCCAGCAGCCTCAATCACTCCAACCCCCTGATGCACAGGGAAGACAATACCCACTTGACCCTTCAATGTCTCAGCCTATCCCTCTCACCACTCAAATCCTTCCTAGAAGAAGTCCGTGCCTATTCTTGCAAGGCATCCGAATCCACCATCTCAATTTACCGCCCCCAACCCTTCTATCGGGATATCCGCTGGATGCCCATCGCGACTCGCCCACTCCGAGATATCTCCACCATCATCCTGAACGAGAACAAGAAACAAAGGATCCTCCAGGATATATCCGAATACCTACACCCCAAAACCAGACAATGGTACGCCAGTCACGGTATCCCTTATCGACGCGGATACCTCTTTTCCGGACCTCCAGGCACAGGTAAGACCAGCCTTGCGTCCGCCCTCGCCGGAGTCTTCGGTCTAGACATCTACGTCCTAAGCTTGCGAGATCCAACGATGGAGGAGCCAGAATTTATCCGCATGTTTTCGGCTGTCCCGAGGCAGTGTGTCGTGTTGTTGGAAGATGTTGACGCCGCAGGACTGAACAGAAATGAACCCATGGTCCCTACTACCACCAACACAAGTGATAGTACCTACCTTAATAATACCCCAAAAACACTAGGACAACCGAAAGCCCCAGAACCTGTTCCATATACGGCAAACGCGTCCGCAATCTCCCTATCTGGTTTACTCAACGCAATCGACGGCATCTCTTCCCACGAGGGCCGCATTCTGATCATGACAACCAACGCGCCGCAGCAACTAGACCGCGCATTGATCCGCCCGGGACGCGTGGACTTGCATATACGATTCGAGCTTCCGTCTCGTGAGGATCTGAAGAATTTGTTCTTAAGTTTATACAGTTGTGACCGTCAGGGTGATCAAGAAAAGCCAGAGTTCGAGAATGAGAAAGAAAAATTGGAAGCCCTTGCGGAGCAGTTTTCGAAAAGTCTGCCTGAGGGTCGGTTCAGTATTGCTGATGTTCAGGGGTTTCTGTTGCAGTATAAACGGGAGCCTAAAAAGGCGTGTGAGAACGTTGTTGGTTGGGTTGAGGAAGAAGTGGGTGTCGAGGGTGAACGAACTACTAATACTGAGTAGGTCTGTGATAGATAGAAGAGGTGGGGTGGGGGGGTTGTCTTTCAATCGGGAATACATTGCAGTCAATCCTGAGGTGGTTGTTGAAGGGGGAAAAAGCGTTTCCTTTAAGGGGTAAAAAAATGGTCTTTACTTGCGCGTTTCGTATTTCCAGCATCTGCTCTGTACTCGAGGAAAGGGAAAACTTGAATCACTATTAAGTACTTTCTTGTAAATGAGCATAAAAGAGTTCAACTTCATGAGGGACTCTCGAGGAGAAAAGTAGCATATCTTCCTCAAACAAATGTAAAGTTCGCGCACAATTATGTCTTAGGACTGCGTTTTTCAGCATATTAATATCAAAACAGGGATGACTGCCTCGCATCTTGAACTAGTACAACATTCACATCGACCTAAGTTGAAGCCCTCGGTATCCGGTCGTTGTATCCTCCATCTGATCCTACTCTAACCTCAGCAATCTACAGCATGTACCGGGTAAACGCTGGGTTCAGCGCTCAACCGCAAATGCCCCCGCCAAGTGCCTCCATGACTGAACTGACAGCAACCCACAGTGGTACCACTGTTGTGCAGAGTAGTCACACATTTCTCGACAGCGGCCAGGATTGTCTTTTTCTCAGCGGTCGTATCACAGTTTGACCCGGTCGTCGTCGCCTTGTACGCATATCCCAGCACCTTCTCCCCACTGACATCTGTACCGTAGGTCAAGGTGCACGAGTCCGCGTCCGACTTCGACTTGATGAGACCAGCCAAAAACTCCCAAATTTCAAGCCCGGCCTTGACTGTGAAGATCACGTGGGATGAGACTTTTGCGGTAGTCACAATTTTCTGGATCGTGATGCCCGTCCTTTTCTCCAAGTCTGTCGTGTCGGATGTGACATTCGCCCATTGCCAGGCGTAGTCGGCGTTGATGACCTTCAATGTTGCAGTCATGTTGCCAAGGCCATCATCCCAGTCTGCAACGATGGGTGTGGTGATCACATCATATGTTGTTTCATTGTCTCCAGCAACACATGGATCAATAAACCCGCATGCGAGAACGCCACACAGGACCTTGCTGAACTTGACCATTCTCCGTCGGTGTAGCGGTGATACAGAGCACAGAGGTCGATGATGAGGAGGCAAGTAAGTTGCAGGAGGTTCATGCACACTTGAGAGCGTTTGTCAGTCAATACTATCCATATATGTAGGGGGCATTGAAGGTGACGCTTCTATACCTGGTGATAAGTGCTGAAAAGAACGGGGCAAGAACAGTGAGAGACCTGAGCGATGAGTTGATGAAGAATATAGGAAGACTCAGTGACTTGGGCCTTTATATACCTTTGCAGCCCGGAGGGCACAAGTCCTGCCAATACTCGTTTGAAAGTTTCTAATCTTCAGAGTAGTATATCAGAAGGCTCTTCAGGTATTCTGTTCGCGCTAGCGAAGCAAAGGATCAGCTAGCTAGCTTGATTTGTATAGCAGGATCTGACGAGAGGATACCTGCTGTCAGCTTTACCAGCGAGAAAAGATAAGAGGAGAGCATTCTCCACCTTATGAAAGTGTGTGTTAATCGAATTTGCTGCGTTTCTTCTACATTCTACTCACGTTAGCTATTCGAGTTGGACTAAGGGCAATCAATCATGATATTGCAGATCACCATTTTATCGTAGGTCATACAGCCTTGAATGCCGAAGGAGAAAAAGCAACTGGCCTGAGTAGACAAACTTGAAGCGATACACAAGTCCCAGTTTAGAGAACCGACAATCGGAAGGTACGGCCCTGGTTACCGATCCGGAAAGAGCTCATATCTCCCTTCTGCCTAAAGATACATTATCTAGTCCCAATGCATGACGATTGCCGGTGAACATGTGCTAGTTTGTCTCTGGTGACGCGGCTTTATGAGTCTAAAAAGGATAAGCTTCTGGTCTGGATGGATAGACGGAGAAATTCCGGGATAATGGAACAGCCTCAATGGCTACTAGCAGTAGGGCAAGAGTCAGTCCCTAAGGTCAAAGAGGGTTAGTTCAATTTTATAAGCCTCCTTCCTTCATGAATCCCCGCTTTTTGGCCCCCACGTGGCTACTGACTCGCATGCTTGAGGAAATACGTAGCATGTGAAAGTCAATTCATCTGGGTTATCGACTGGATAACATGCCATGTGCACTTGAGCCTGTTGTTAGCGCTGACATGGAACTATCGCACTTTGCAAAATTTTGCCGTCACCTGATGTGGGTTGCAATCAAGTTAGTAGCTCCCTAGAATGATACAGTAAAAGATTGAGAGGGGGAATCGACGGTGAGTATTCGAGAACTAGTTGATGGTGATTTGCAATTAGGCTCAAAGCAGAATTGAGGGCAAAGAAACCAAGCTGTCATGGAACTCTTCATCAATAGTGTACAATTTCAATAATGATCAGGTGCTATGCTTTGACTATACTACTATACATTCAGATCTCTTTATACATATATACATACTCGCCCAACTTGAACATCACACCCCGTCTGGGGTACATCCTAGAAATACACTTTCAACTCAACGAGTCTCACCCTCGCCTAGAGGGGTTTGTCCCTCGTTTTGGGGCTCATATATGTCCTGTTCTTCGGCATCAGAAACATCTTCTCCTTCTTCTGCCTCCTCTGCCACCCATTCTTCGTCCTCTACTTCATTTTCTCCTTCTTCTCCTTCGACCTCCATGTCCTCCTCCAGATCGTCGAACTCATCTTCATCATCTTCCACGAGACTTTCATCGTCCATCAATTCCTCCTTCGTTCCGAGTTCCTTGTCTCTTTCCTCGAGCAGCGTCTCGGCCTCCATGTCATATTCATCGGGGTAGTCGAGGGTATTTCTGAAAGGCGAGGGTGCAACATCGGAATCTTGCTCATCATCGTCCAACTCGGAGATACCAACATTAATTGGAGGCTCATCAGTTGGCTCAGAAGTGGCATCTTGTGCTTCGACTCGAATATTGCTACTGTCTTGCCCCGCCTTTTCAGCAGTAGGTTCATTCCGTGACTTAGACCTAGTCAGGCCGCCCACACCAAGAATACCGCCTGTCCACACATAACGATCACGTCCAAGTTCATCAACCATCTCGCCTTTCTCCTGCCGACGCCGGAGGAGCACACCCTGGAACTTCTCACGGAGGTAAGGAAGTCTAGCAACTGCTGCGATCGTCTTAGGCGCCGCATCGTATATAGCTTGAAGATCCGTGCCTCCCTCGTGAATGCTCCGTTCGCGAAGTCGCCTCAATGCAGCAGCCAGATATACCATGGACACGTACGTGGGCTGCATGAAGTCCGGCTGGATCTTGCTCCAGTAGCGCCGGCCCAATCTGCCCAGTACATTAGGTGGCTTTGCCCGTTTAGGATTCTCCATCGCATCAATGGTTGAAGGCACCCCCGGAGGTCGTGCACCATATCCCCGACGAAGATTATCCCACCCAGGGAAGTTGGGCATGAACTTATGTTCAAAGACAGTAAAAGCTTCAATCTGATCAGACAACCTGTCGGAGGACGCAAGCATCTGCACAAAAGTGGACCAATTGAAGGTTGTCATGGAGAAACCTGCCTCCACATACTTTGCTATGACCTCGGAGATCTTCGAAACCTCGTTTCCATAAGCCAAAGAACGCAGATACAGTGAAAGAGGGCGAGATAGCATGAAGCGGTACGCTGGTAGAATCGGGTCCTTCTTTGTCGTAGCTGACTCGGATGGCCTAGCTTGGGAGTCGTCGGGATTCACCAAGAGCTCGGCATGAGATGGCAAGGGCGGTGTACCTGGGTTGAGTTGACGACTAAGCCACTCATCAATCTCAGGAGAAGTGGGACTAGCTATCTTCAATGCACGAGTGAAAGCCAGGTTCCAGCATTCTTCCACCTGTTGGTACTGTTCAGCCTTCAGATGCGCGAGCATCAAAGCAGACAGCAAACGAAGAGGCGCGATGTCATGGTAATTCTCTTCATCAGAGTCTTTGGGTGGATGACTAGCGGTATAGTCATCGAAAAGCCTCCGAGCCGACAGATAAGCCCCCTTCATACCATAGGCAGAGATCATATATTCGTAATAAACAGCAGGGAATCCCTTCCTGGCAGACATCCTACCAGAACCCAGCAAGGGGTACTTCGTCGCCAACTTGGTAGAGTGGTAATCTGCAAGAGTCTCTGCGAGGAATTTCTCGGAATTTTCGAGACGAATGTTTGCGTGGTTGCCGACCTGACCGCCCTGTGCCAAAAGTTGCAAATCTCGCTGGATCTGACTCTTGAGCACAAGGAGTCTCGAGCCAAGTCCCGGCTGATTGAATCTGTCTTTGATTTCGCGGAAAATGATGTGCACCATGTCCCGATTGCGGTCCTTCAGGTAGCCATACAGGATGACTGCGTAGTGAAATTCAGTGGCGTAAACGCGGCGACCTCGGTGGAGTGCCCTCAGGATGCGGCGGGCAGAATCCGTCTGGCCTATAAGCACAAGACTGAGCATGAGAGCAGAATAGGTCATATCATCGGGCTCCAGTCCTGATGCATCCATCCGCGAGCGTATCCTTGATATAGCTTCCAGATCCATCCGGAAAGCATAATTCCATAGCAAGATATTCCACATTCTTACGCGAGAACCCTTGACGTCGAGGCCGAGGCAAGTCTCCGCAACGTGCTCAGCCATCTCCCACTCTGAGTTGTTGCAATAAGCCTCCACAACTGTATCAATCATGGGGGCTGTTATCTGCACGTTATGTTGTTGGGCTAGGCTGAGCAGATCACGGACATGAGTAACATCGCCCCGGTTAGCACAAAGACCCATCATTATACCAAAAGTGTGCGAGGTGGGCTCAACACCCTCTTCCATCATCTTCTTGAACATGGCGAAGGTCCCTGAAAGATCTCCCGCTTTGGAATAAGCTGTAAGCAAGATGTTCCAACATATGTCATTCGGTTGAAGGTTAAACTCTTCCGAAATTCTTCGGAACTGACGCGTGGTCTGTTCAACATCGCCAATTCTGGCGTAGACATAGAGAAGTGGAGCCACGATTT